TCCAGTGAAGTTCAGATCTTCTGAACATATACTCACATGTGTCCTCAGGGCCACTCTGAGCTTTTAATGGGGTCCGCGCTTGGATCTTTAATTAATGCACGCAGGTAATAGATGCCATCTGGGGACCCTCTTGGCAACTAATCACATACACAGAGATACTCGTTCAGTGCCAGATGCGGTGTCTTCTCTCCCTCTAACCTAATTACCCTTTCTTTTACAAACAAAGCCATGCAAATAGCATTTATTATCTATTATTTCCTCAAAAACATAAACTCTTCTTGTTAGATTCAAAAATTGAGATCATAATTACAAAGAAATTAATGCATTTCAACATTTTTTTTATTTATTTTTTATTTATTTTGTTGCCGCGAAGGCTCCATGAACTATATCTGCTTTAATTTGGGTATGCCATATTGAGTTCAAAAGGGGTCTGCAAGTAAAAAAAAAAAAAAATAAAAAATTAGAGTTGAAGGAATTGTTCTTGTTTGTTCTCTCACCTAGTCTAGGATGTTAATGAATCCTTATTGAACCCCTGATTTTTTTTTTTTTTTTTAAGTAATAAAAGAGGGAGTCTTTACAACAGTGTTTCTAAAAGAGGCACTGAGCAAAATGAAATGTGCCATTGATTTCCACAGCAAAGGGAGCTTCTGATGTGTTTTAAATAAAATAATAATATAATAAGTAAATGTGAATTTGTTTTTTGAACAAGAATAAATATTGATAATTATAATAGTAATTGTTTATTTAAAACATGATCAGAAAATAAATAAATGACACTATTTAATAAGATAAACAAAATAATAATTATTATTATTAGTATTTGTTATTTAAAGCAGATCAGAAGCTAACATCACATCAGTTTTTGTTTTATTTTTGATAATAATAATTCTATAAAACACTGATTCGTTATAAATGGTATGCTGTGTAAATTAATATTATTATTTTTAATAATAATAATATAAAATATCTATTAATAAATTATTTAATAGTTATTAAAATATCACTATTTTTAAAATATAAGTTGCAAAAACATTTCCCATTTACTTTTCATTTTTAATAATGTTGATGTAAGGATGTTTTTGATCACCTTAAGGTAAAGACAAACACACATTTGATACTCTTTTTGGGCTGGATCCACTGATTTATATAGAATTAGCCATCATGGGACTAAACTTTTTGAGGCAACAACTCATGCCTGTCCCTAAACATGGCATAAATAAATGAATAAATGCATTCAAATGTATCTAATTTAAATAAATGAATCTAAATGAACTGTGTTGATAAACCTGATTTAGCTCAGTGAATGAATAAGGACTGTCTTTATTGTTTTGTGTTGGCACAGTATTTTTAATTTCACGTTTTTGTTCTTACGTGGACGCGCAAGATGCCATTAAAGATATCTCTAAGCCCTAGGATAAAGCAAACCACCGAGATGTTCAAAGACATTTCCTTGAGATACAAATATTTTGATTGTTGACAATATTTGTACATTCGCAGGGCGTGAAATTGATTTCTAGAAGTGACAAATCTCAGAGGGACTTTGCGATGCTCCGTGGCGACTGCACTCCCACTCCACTGGTTATATCCTCCTGGATGGTTCCGCGTTAATCGGGTTAGCGTGGTAAAAATAAAACACCTTTTTTAACACCGGGTCTCGGATCTCTGCATTTGCACGTAAAGGATCACTACACGTTAACCAACCGACCAATGAAATGGAGCGTCGGTTTCACACTGCATTGTGTCATAATCCGTTTATGTTTTCTTCCATTCAGAAAGTCATTCATTCAGCATAATCCATTTGTCTGCTCTCTTGCCTTCAGATAAACAGCCGTGGGCCTTGGAAAACTCGTCTTTGTGTAACACCGCCAAGGGTTTAAACCCCCGAGCCGTTCTCCATCTGGGAACAGGGCTGATTTTCAGCGCTTAACTCTGCATCACAAGTTCACGGCAATTGGCTTTTGCGTCTACGTTCTCGAAGGCTGCCCTCAGATGGCATTGTTTGAAGTTTTTATCCCGAGCTTCGTGAGCTCTGGCACCCTTCCTGGCTCGGCGGGTGGCGGTAACACAGTGTCGACTTGGAAACGACTCCTTTGGCAAGTGTTTTCCGGGTTTGCTAGCTTCCTTGTTTTTGGCCAGAAAATACACCACAACCCATTAAACACTTTTGGAAAACTGCAACAGCACCAGCAGCAGGACTCACTCAAATCGACAAATACGTCGCTCAGGTAATGCAGTGATGGTTACATGTAGGCCTAGGGCTGCACGATATGTCGGGAATAAAATTGACATTGACAATCGCGCTGGCTGTGATTTAATGAAATAAATATATGCGCTACCTGTTTTAGAGTGAAGCTCATGATCATTTACTGCAGTGATTCTGAGACTGGTACCATGAGTGAAACTGGCAGCAAATATTTTTATTGGCCAACAACACGTAAGAATAAAACTTGATGGACAATATAATGCTGGTATTGTAAATTTACAGTGAAATACGATTTTATTGCTTTGGCCGTTCATTTATTTTAGTGTAAACTACAAAAATGTGAATTTGACGTCATTCGCATTTCATGTTCAGTCTATAGACACTTAGTGTTTCTTTAAAATGTGACATCACCAATAGGGAAGTAACAATACATCGATATGGATCGATGCATCGATCAAACGTCTAACGATACGATGCATCGATACCACACATAAAATATCGATATACGGGACCTTTATTTTGACACTCCACATCCTCACGTAACTTTTCTCCGCTGAAATAGACGTCTGACAAGATTGACTGAACCCTTTGTCACAAAAGCTGGTGTTTTCCACAGGTTTATGTTTTACAGCAGAAGCAACAAGCCCCGAAAAGTCTGTTTTGGCAAATCAGTGCGCAGTATTCAGGTCAGGTGACAAGACTGCTTGTCGCTTTGAAAAGAGGAGTTTCGTCAAAGCTGACTAAAAGTGATCGAGGATGGATTTCAGCAAACTTGATGAACCTGTGATATCTTCTTTGGCTCGTAAAAGGAAAATAAAAGCTGAAACTTTTTCATTGAATCTTGCTAAAACTGCATGTTTTAGTGGTGAGTGAAAAGTTCTCTGTATTGCGCGTACTTTAATCACAACAACGTTTGACATTCCTCTATGTCAGCTGAGGAGATTAACATTACAGATTAACCAAGTGTTTTATTATATATATATATATATACGTAGGCTATATAAATATAAATCCTTTCAATTAACTTTAATATAACAGAAGAGTTCTTTTGCAAAAACAGATAACTTCGTTCTTGTTCATTTTAATTATTATTATTTTTTTTACAAACAACTTAAATGTCCCAATTGGGAGAGGGTGTGCAATTTTCAAAGACTTTAATTAAACTTTCATGTAATACTTGCTTACTTTCATACTTGGCACATAGTATCTAAATATCGATTAATCGATCGATATAGCCCTGAATCGAATCGTAATCGTATCGTAGAATTTTTTAAAGTATCGGCAAATATCGTATCGCTGGCTGAGAGAATCAATATCGTATCATATCGTGATTAACTGTCCAATTTACACCCCTAATCATCATCTACCGAACTGGCAATCATAGCTAATAAAGCGGTTTTAGTCATTTACGCAGATCCGTGTTGACAGGGATCGTTAGACAACGCTGTTGTAAGACTCTTCCTGCAATGACTCTTCAAGCCACTAGGTGGCACCACCTGCTGTGAACTCTTTAGGTCGGATTGCTCATCAAGTTAATGTTTTGTAACCTGTATTTTGCCCTATTTATTTTTTGCAGATTGATTGCGCTGTGTTCTGTCTTGAGCCTATCCTCTATGGATGTCCTCAGTTCTAGAAGAGGTAGGTAGTTCGTTGTTGACACTGGGCTTACTTTATGATTTGTTTTGGAACTTGAAAAAATATTGTATTACAATAAGAATTTTCAGGTAAATGATCGAGATCCAGATGAATTCCCCAACAAATTCACACAACTCAATGTAGAATGATTCATTCTTTACAAATATACAGTTCATTTACTCGTATCAATTTATATCTAATAATTATTTTGCATTTTAAATCACAAAAAAATAAAATCCACTTTTTTTCCAATATTGCACAGCCCTAACTGCACGTAAAGTGACCTCGGATTACAAAGTCTTAAACGGCCCCCCTGAAAATATGAACATAGTGCCAAGCTGTCATCAAGGGCGCTGCTGATAAAGCCAGTGCAGTGTGAAGACATCGTGGCTCGGGGCAAATCCTGGCCGGCTGAAAGTGTCCTAATCTGTTCCCACAGAGCCTATCGCTATCCCTATTAGAGAGGGAACAAATGTTTGGAGACGGACATTGTATCTGCTTGGCCGGTCAAAGGAGTGGCTCTTGCCAGGAGTGGTCTTGTGTGACACAAGCCGACAGCGTTATCAGTCCAGGTGCGTGTCCAAGGTTGACAACCACAGCATGCAAACTGCAGAAACAAGCTGCCGCCCACTCAGCAAGACAGAGGACGGCTGTAGTGGAGGCTAACTGTGTATCAAGGGCAGAAAGCTTGGCATGGTGACAAAATGTTGTATACTAGCATACTGTTGTCCACAGTATGCTCATTTTCTGGGTGTATAATCCCTAATATGCAAAGATAAACTATTATATTTGCCAAAATGAGCAGTATGAGCTTTCTGTGTGGGAAAAGATCTCCCAAAATGCAATGCACTCTTTGACCTTTCATTTTATAGTGTGATGAATGAACTGGATGTAATTACTATTGATATATATATTTTTTTTACTTTTATTTAATACATCAGTTTATCAGTTTCTTTATTATTTTGCACTTATAATGTAGCACTAAGAATATAAACGAGACAGATATCAATTGCACCCCCCTTTAAATTTCGAACTGTTATTGTTAGTTACTTGTATTACTTTATTGCATTGTGTTCAATTTGGTGAGACTCGGAGTCGCCAGCAGGGGGCACCCGGGAGTTGCATAGCACATGGGTGGCTGACTAGCTAGCAGCGTAGAAGTAGTCCAGCACGAGATGAAGCGCGAAAGTGCAGAGGAATATGCTCAATTTGTGTTTTAAACAGGTAAGTTGACAGTAACTTTATACTGGTAAATACATAACAGTATTTTATTCTTATAGAGCCGTAGTTCGTGCCTGATACGTTTAGATAATTAAAGTTTTAACCGTGATTAAGAGTGCTATGTCGTGAAATGGCGGACGAGAGTGTTAAGTGCTCAATAGGAAAATTAGTAACTCCTAACGTGAGCAAAACGGAGGAATAAAGGCTTAAAAAGGTTTATATACTCGACGTGAGTGCGGGACGAGGCATAATTAACTGAATAGATGTGTACGGACATTGATTAAGATGTGTGTAGTGACGAGTCTGTGCAGTTGGAGTTAACAAGGCACACCTGACTGTTGTTAGCGCTCGCACTTGCACTTGTTACTCTCGTTTAGCATTGCTTTGTCAGCTATTACGTGTAAAAGAAAATTAAGTTAATACTTTTAAATAAGAATCACAGTCAGATTGAGCGGTAAAATAGTTTATTAATTATTTTTTGAGTTCATAGTTATAACACATTAACGGTTAAATGGTTAACCTAGTTCATAATGCAGTCAGTCAGTTCATTAGCATATTTCATGGAAGAGTAAAAACAGATTAAAGACAAGTGAAATAGTGATATGAAAGAGTATTAGAAATGTGCAGTTATCAATGCTAGAGTAATGTGAATATAGACTAAACTATTGCTGATACTTGAATATCTATTCTAATTCCAAATGCTATTTACATGTTTGTTTGAGTTTAAATGCATGACTCAGAGTTTGTGGTACTTTGATGATGTTATTTTTCAGACCTTTTCCTTTTTTGTCATTTAATAGCTAGCACAGCACATTTTTAGATCGATGTGTTTGTGTAGGATGTATTTCTTGAGAATTGAGTTTTCTATAAAGAGTAATGCGTTTAGTGTGACGTATCAGCCTAGACATCAGACATGTGATTTGGTAGGATAATTTGTGGAATTTGTAAGATTTACATTTGATTTAAATACGCTTATTAAAATGAGATGAATTGACAGTATGCAGTATAATGCATTGTGTTTAGTAAGCTAGCATTCAACTCTAAACATAGACAATGTTTAGAACCTGTCTAAACATGCCAACTCACCTATAGTATTTACTCAATGTAGTATTCATGAAATAGTTCCCCATATTTTTTTTTTTTGTCACAGAGTTTGGATTGTATCCATACAACACTCTTTCATACATATACTGTAGAACATTCCAGCAACCAACCTGGAGAACTAGAAAAAAGTGACCACAATTGTGATTGATTGTGTTTTTGTGGCCAATTCTTCAGCAATAAATCACAGATACACTTCGGAACGAACTTAAGAGCGTTTGTTGGAGAAGAGACTACGAAAACTGATTAAATTTAAAAACACGACAGTCATTTTAGTTTCATTTGATCAAAACAGCAATTTTCGTTATCACTTAAATGTCAGCTTTTATAAAACTAACCATCACACACCTGTGTTTGACACATGGTAATTCCTCAGCATTTGCATATTTTTGAATCACTGAATACTAAATTCAATCAAACAGTAACACATTTGAAGGTAATGATGTTACAGCTGACCTAATTTAAGAAAAGATATAGTTGCATAATCTGCTTGGGGAGATGCATTGGAAACTGTGTCTGTCCTATACAATCTAGTCTCGGCAGACGGCCTGGACTCTTTAGCAGCTTTCATTGGCCAAGGACCACTCAGAGGCCATCTTACTGACTTGTAATGCAACCAATCACAGTTCGCTTTTTTCAGCATCATGGTTAGGGGTGTGAAAAATGATGACCCTATAATAACAGACTGCTGTGTAAAACACAGTCTATGCCACAAACTTCAAATGTTTAGATGGTCCTGATAAGTGCTTATTGTCACAGTTGTAAACACAAAAGCTTTCTTCTTCCATGAGGGCTTTGGCATCAAGGCGAAGTTGTTAAACTGTTTAAACATCTCCTGGAAATCGACCAATAAGGTGAAAAAATCCAAACTCCTGAAACAATTCCGATTTTGTGTGCCAAATGCATCAGACGTTGAGCCAAGAGTCCGTGTGTCTGTTTACACTTACTTACCGTTCATTTACTCGACAACAGCATTTTGGGGATCTGAAAACGCAAACTTTTAAAAATGGGTTTTAAATTGCAATTGTTGAAAAACAATACTGTTATAGTCTCCATGTAAACTACAAAAACGTGAATTTGGGAAAATGCTGACATCACGCACATGCGCGTTACGTATTCAGTCTATGGGCAGTCTAAGTGACATCGCCAACTACTGGCCTGACAGCAGAATACATGTTTTTAATAATTTCGCAAATCCGTGAACAGAGATTGTTTTGACAAAAGTGTCGTCTGGACGCAATTTTTTTTTTTTTTTTAAGTAGCCTACATTGTCGTGTAAACACCCTAAATATCCCTTTTTATTTGTGGTGCTGATTAAATAATAACAAATTGGTTAGATTAAATAAAGATTTAATGACTATAGTGTTCTTCTGTAATGATCTTCAGTGTCACATGATCTTTCAAACATCATTTTAATATGCTGATTTGCTAAACAGGAAACATTTATCAATGTTTAAAACTGTTGTGCTGCTTCATGGAAGCTTGTTTCTGCCAATATATATATACTGTATATGTATGTATATATGTATATATATATACACATACATATATAGATAATTGCGACTTATAATTGATAATAATTTACTTCTTTTCTCAGAATTGGGAATTATAAACTTGCAACTGCGAGTTCCATACTTTTGTAACATTACATGTACATTTTGTAACATCTCTCTGCGTGTGTGTTCAGAAATCCATATTTTAGCTGTAATGAAGCTCACCAACCAATGCATTAAAACACGGGACATGTTTGACCGTGGACAAGGGTGACACACTTTTAGTGAGTTTCATCTTTTTTGGAGCTTTAATGGGTGAAAATGGAAGGGTGATATCGGGAGCTAATAGCCTGAGGTCGAACCCTTCTGCGTGACAGATATACTACAACAGCGGGACACATGGACGTTCTGGAGAAGCTCTCTGCCAAACTTTAATTATATCTGCTGACACGAAATGACAAAGTGTAGTTCACTCATCTCCTCGGGCTCCAGGAAGATGAAGCAAGCGGGTAGAATGACACTTGTGTATATTATTTTCCTGTCTTTTACAGCGCATACCCCGTAGCTACTGTAAGTATCCATGTGGCACTATTTAGCATTTATGCTGTGCCAAGGTCATCATGCTTGGCTAATAGTCATTTACTGTTACCCCGGAGGCGGGAGTTTGTGTGTAGAGTGCTTAATTTACACGGATGAATGTTTAAAGCCACCTGTTTTCAAAGACCTGCTTTAAGATCATGTTTCTTACTCAACAATTCCCCCATCACCCACTCAAATTCCACTTTGATCAAAATATCTTGTGTGGTATTTGGGGGAACTTTAGTACTTTAGGGAAGGAGTAACATTTGGGTGTTACCCCCCCCCCCCCCCCCCCCCACACACACTACTGTTTTTAAATTTTGCCTATGTTTTTTTTAAAATGTATTCATACTTTGCAGTCACGTGACTCTCATGGATGTCAGTTGTGTTTGTGCTTTTTCACAGGATTATTTCATACAATTTAATACATGTATTATACCTTCGCCCGTGCACGCCGTTGGATTTCGTCGTTGTCGAGTGTGGAGAGAACAACCAGCGCTGTTTTTCCAGTTGTTTCCCTCTCATGCACTAATGGGTGTCTGACAATTTCAGTGCTGTCTCTCCGTCCATGCAATAGATGCACACCCTTGAATGAGCGTGGATTTCTAGTGCATTTACTTGAACTTCTGAGGTAATATCTTTGGTTTGACCCATCTGAGAAATTGAGAGGCGGCCAAAATCAGATTGTAAAATGGATTGAATAAAGCTCTTTACGAACTTGACGTTCGATGTCATGTTGACAGACATGTGCGTGAATCACTGTCGCACGCACAAGCTTAGAGCAATATTGTAAGTTACTGTCTGCATGATAATACATTTTCATTAAGCTTTGCATCTTTAGAAACCCAGTCATATTTTTGAATGGTCATTGTTTATTCCCTTATTTTCCCCTGAGATGGGGGAAATAAGGATTTAAGTGTTTTACTTCCTACTTATTATGATGTAAAAATCATCATTTTGCGTCATATTAAGAAGGAAGTCATATTTCATTGAAAAGTGTAGAAGCACACAATAGAAACAAAACACATCATAAAATCAGGCCTGTTTCTCTCTCGTTCTGCCTTCGTCGCTCCTCATTTTATGCTTTCGCTCCTCTGTGAGAGACACGAGACCAGCGCGCGCCTCACAGATGTCTTTCATTATCACTCACACCATCGGCCTCGCGCCGTCCTCTTACGTCCCTCGCCCTCGATCGTCCTGCTCGCCACAGCCAACTAACTACAAATTTTGTGTGAAAAGAATTTCAAACTCTAGTGACGGCTAACGTTAGCCTTGTAGACGGAAGAGTGATTTCTCTGTTTGCACTGTTCCGGATTAGTTGGTGTGGCTTGTGGAGCTGTGCAATGTGGTGCATTGTGGGAGTTGTTGTCTTACATAGAAATGCGCCCCTCGGTTATTTTCTTGGTCAAGAGGGCACCAAATTCAAAAATTGTTTTACATTTCGGTTGCATATATAATCCACTTTCAGTAAAGATTAATGTTGAAATGGGTGCTCCTTTAACTAGCAGAATAATAATGCATCATGATACACATAGTTGACTGCTTGTACATCGTGAGAAATGTGTGTGATATGTGTTATGTTGTATACATGCTCTTAACCTTGTAGGATTAATAAAGTTGATAAAGTAAATAGTCTCACTTTTAGTTACGTCTTAACTATTCTAATATTTCAAAGAGCAAAAACATGAACTTTAACTATTGGCTTTAACCTGAGGCCAGTAGCATAGCATTATTTAGAACCTCAGCTTTACCCTCTTTGCACATTTTATCCGGTAGTGACGAGAGGTGACGCGCTGCCAAGATGGCGATGGGTGGCCCAGCCCACTTTGG